TAGCACCCAGTTCCACTTCGGCCAGCACTCACCTTGCTGACCACAGGAACGTCGTTGCTCTAGGAGTGAACCTGGTCCGGAGACCAACAAACACCCCCAGAAACTGCCCTGCGGCTCTGCAGTTACAGCGCTCACTGGCCGCGGAGTAGCCCAGCTCATTTCTCACGGAGTTCCCCCCTCCAAACCTCCCACCCACGTCCTCCACCGCAGGGACAGTGATGGCTCTGCAGTCAGTTATCCCGGCCCAGCGGGTCTGGGCCCCCTAAAACCATCTTCTAACAGTTTGAAAGCAGAGCTGGACGCTCTCCGGGGAGTAATTATCTGTAGTTGTTGCAGGCTCTGGACCTTGCCTCGGCAGCCACCTGCCTTCATCCCACCACGCTCCCGCTCTGTTAGAGTCACACAAGCTTCTTGCTCTTCCAGCTCGTGTCTCCGAAGGGATTTCCATCGCCAAGAGAGCCTGGAGACTGCGGGTTTTGTCAGGATTTATTTAAGTTGTGTGTGGCTCCCACAGCACACTGGCCACCCAGGTGTATGTGGCGTACGTCCAGCTTCTACCTCTCTTCATCCTTCAGTTTGTACCGTGCTTGTGGCTTTTGGGCCCCGCACACTGGAACTTCCCTACTTTGTACCTGGACACAGCAGTCATGGAGGGGCAACAAGCTTCTATGAGCATTTTTCTTCCAAGGTGGGGTGTAGATGTTTGACCCCATTAAAACTTCCACTTATGTTCATCACTGAAAATGTAAATATTGGCGTATAGAACCATACACATCTTAGGAATACATTTTGGACCTATGACAGAAAAAGTCCTCTGAATTGTAGTAAGGAAGAAACCAAAATTGTTATAGTGAACTTGCCCTAAATTTTATAGATTTCAGTTAAAAATTATAACCTGTTTTGACCTGTCAGTAGATGGGACATAGCTCTTTAAAATCATATTTCTATAACCTGGTTCGATATTCTTATAAAAACGACAAGGTTCTGCGTAATTCTGTAGGACTGTGAGGGATGGTTGTTCCAGGGAGGCAGAGAGATCCTGAACCCGAGCAAAGAGCCTCCTCCCTGCTAAAGCCACTGAATGTCATCATCAAAGAAACTGCAGCAGCCGCCTGTAAAAAGACAAACCAGCCCCAAAGAACAAGGAAACAAATCACAAACCAAAACGCAGCGAAGCTGGAGAGCACAGACACTCCTGGGTATTTTCTGCATTGCAAATGTTGTGAACGTGGATCATCAATATTCATGGCCCGCAGCGGCTGAGCGCATCCTTGCGCCTCGCGCGGGGCAGGAGGGAGAAACAAAGACGGAGGGAACGTCCCTGTTCCTTAAGCCAAACCTGCAGCTCCCCCCTGGCTGGCGCTCTGCTGCTGGGGTAGGGAAAACCAGCCAGCCCCAAGGCTGGAACCTCATTAGCCGGACGCTGTGGAATTTGCAAGGAAAGGGTATTATTGGTGACCGGAGCGTTTTTACCTGCCTGAAGTCACCTCCTCGTCCCGTGGGACATATCAGGTGCGTTGCCGAAGCTGACATTTCAGAATGGTTTTGGCAGTAACACTTGGCGTGGAAAAATCCTTTGCCCTTCTCTGCACTGAACTCCTCTGGAGTAAGTAGATGTTTATAATTTGTCACTTCCCCCCTTTTATTCTCTCTGTGTTACTGAGGGACCTCGCTCTCTGATCTGCTCGCGGGCTGCCTTGGGTGGCAGCGGAGAGATAAACCGAACATGGCAAAACCTGACTTCCTCCCTTGTCTCACCCTGCTCCGTTTCTTCCAGCTCTGCCCTGGGTTCGGCTGTCCTCCCAGGCGCCCAGGAGTACCCTGCAGTGATTTCAAATCCCAGAGTCACAGAGAATAGGATTGGAAGAGGTGGTCAGGGGTTATCCCGCCATCCTTTGCCCTCCAGCGTGATTAACAGCCTCATAAATGGTTCTTGACAGCCGTCAGTCTAATCTGCTCTTAAATGTCTCCAGTGGAAGCAGTTCTGTATCGTACACGTGTAAACTATTCTAGTGCTGTGTTATCCTTGGGAGCTCACAGCAATTTTCCTAAATTCTTATCTAAATCTTTCTTGCTGTGTTTTCAGACCGGCAATTCTTGTCCTATCTCCTTTTGGTAGCTGAAACAGGATAACCCCTGCCTTTTGCAGCAGTCTTTTTCAGTCTTTGAAGATGATGATTACCTCTCTCCACAGACTTCTAGCCCTAGGGGGAAATGACCCTGTTTCTTTCAATCTTTCATGTTTTCACATCATTCCCATTAATTTCTTGCAGAGTCTTTCCAAATGGTCCCATTCTTGGTTGAGAAGCAGTGCCTGGTGTGGGTCACCCGTGGAAGTGCTGCGCTGAAGGAGAACATCACATTTCTGTCTCTGCCTCCCTACAGCCTGTTTCTTTTGGAAAAATCTGCCACTGTTAACTCCACTTCAGCCTCTCATCAGCGAGCGTGTCAAAGAGTTTCACCAAAATCTCTCAATATATCATAGTTCGTGCCTCCTTCATATCTGCAAGCTCTCTTAGTCTTAGCAGAAAATTATGTTGGTTTGATGTGATTTGAGTTGGACCAAACCACGTGGGCTGTTACTTCTCACCTTGTTCTCCTGTCGATACTTACAGATGGATTTTTTTTTCACCCATTCAATGTCTTTTCAGGAGTTGAAGTTAGGTTGGCTATGTAATTCCCTGAGTCCTCCTTTCCCCCATTTTAAAGACATTCTGTAAGTTTTTCCTGTTCCTGTTTGGACACTTTGCCAGATCTTTATGAGTTCTGAAAACCCCTCACTTGCAGCTCCGAGGCTGCTTTACCAACCTCCCTACATACATCGGTATGAGTTCAATCAGACCCAGCAAATTTGGAAACATCCAACGCGTATAAGAAATCTTTAACCTACTGGTTTCTTGTTTTAGCCCGAGTCCTCAGCCCTTTTTCGCTGACATTTATGGTTAGCCATCTGATCGCAGCTGACCTTTCAAATTAAGGGTGAAACAAAAAAATGATTGTGTGCTTAGTTTTTTCCTCTGATATTATCATCCATTCCCCAGTGCAGAGTGAAGAATCCTTTCATTTTTCTCTTACTGCTAATGCGCCGACGGATTGCCTTCTTCTTCCCTTTTCCTCTTCCTTCTCATCGTGTGCCTTGTCCCTTACATTGTCCACGTCCTCGCCCCTGTGCCCACGGAGGCAGCGGCCGTGGGCGATCCCCAGCGCCAGCTGCCCACGCGGGGGCCAGCGCAGGTCAGCGTGCCGCGGCCCGTCTCGGGAATTCAGCGTGGGAATCCAGCGCCTTTGCAGGGTTTTCTTAGTAAGGGCTGCTTTCATGCAGAAGAGATGGGAATTTCCCCGTTTTCCAACGGCATGCCGCCACACTTGGGAGATGACCCGTCTCCAGCCGAGGTTTCACCAGCAGCTTTGATTCCCTTGAGTGCCTGCGGGTCCTTCCTTGCTGTAACTGTCCCCATTTAATCTCACTTCTTGTTTTACCCCAGCTCTTCACTCCTTCCTCTGCAAGAACCACCCTCCCCACGTGTGTGAGCTGTGGGTGCTCCTGGCCAGCCCCCCCCGGCTCCAGCCTCCCCCTTTGCCAACCTCCCGTGCTCTGCCTGACGCGGCTGCAGACCTCACCAACTCGCTGATAATAACAGTTTTTAATTAAAACTTTTATTTATAGTTGAGCTTATACCCAACAAAATAATAAATCTGCGTGCTGGTAAAGCGGGCTGTGCTGGGGCTCGCTCCGGGCATCTGGGTCCCTAAGCTGGAAGGAAATAAGTGAGCATGTGAAAGGAAACTGCCTCAAAATCCACTCACCAATTTTACATGGGCCTCTCCACGCTCTTGGAGCTCCTACACTGCCTGTTACATATGGGGAGTGCTCATACCCCGCAAAACCAGCTTTTCCTGCTTACGCCTTGTCTTAGTGAAACTGAGAACCACAGACCGGTGTGGGTGGGAAGGGACCTTATAGCCCCCCCAGTGCCCCCCCCTGCCCCGGGCAGGGCCCCCTTCCCCCAGCCCAGGGGGCTCCCAGCCCCGTCCAACCTGGCCTGGAACCCTTCCAGGGAGGGGGCACCCACAGCTGCTCTGGGCACCCTGGGCCAGCGCCTCACCCCCCGCACAGGGAAGGATTTCATCCTTACATCTAATCTAAATCTCCCCTCTTTCAGTTTAAAACCGTCCCCCCTTCGTCCTACCCCCACCCCCTGATCCAGAGTCCCTCCCCCCCTCTCCTGTCCCCCCTTTAAGCCCTGGGGGGCCGCTCGAAGGTCTCCCCGGAGCCTTCTCTTCTCCAGGCTGAACCCCCCCAACTCTCTCAGCCCGGCCCCCCAGGGGAGCTGCTCCAGCCCCCCCAGCATCTCCGTGGCCTCCTCTGGCCCCGCTCGAGCAGCTCCGGGTCCTTCTGCTGTTGGGGGCCCCCGAGCTGGCCCCAGCACTGCAGGGGGGTCTCCCCAGAGCGGAGCAGAGGGGGAGAATCCCCCCCCGGCCCTGCTGCCCCCCCTGCTCTGGCTGCAGCCCAGGGCCCGGGTGGGTTCTGGGCTGTGAGCGCACGGGGCTGGGTCACGGGCAGTTTTCCCCCCCCCAGTTCCCCCCAGCCCCTCTCCTCGGGGCTGCTCTCCAGCCACCCCTCGAGGGCCCAGCCTGGGTTTGTGCTGGGGATCACCCCAACCCCCGGGCAGGCCCTTGCCCTTGGCCGTGTTGAACCTCACGAGGTCTGCACGGTCCCACCTCTCCAGCCTGCCCAGGCTGTAATTTGCTTCCTGCAAATTACAGTTGTTTTATTTACAAACTATCTTACACGAAACAGGAGAACTCCATGGAGGAGCCCAGGTGGGCAGGCGTCGGTGCCCCGGTTCGCACAGCAGCAGGAACCCCAAATCCCAAATCCTCATCTCTAAACACAGAGAGCTGGGAGGTCCCCCCCGAGCAGGGCACAGCGATGCAATTACTGCGTCAGCAGCGGCCCCGCCGGCCGGATCTGGGGATGAACGAGGCTGCAGACGCCCTTTGCGATGATGCTCATCTCTTTATTGGTGTCAGTGCCAGTTTTCGAGGGGTGCTGGCGCTTTCTGGTCATTCCCAGCACCGGGTCAAAGCTACATTACAGCATAGTGAAGAGGTGTCCATCCAAAGCCAGAGGGGGTGTGAGATTAATGACCTCTCTCCATACAGTATGTATAATATATATATATATTTATAATATGTCCTGTATATTCATATGTATAGCGTGACAAGGATGGGCCACCATACAGTAAACTTTTGATTTCTAAATAAATCACCAGAGCAACAGGCACGAAAATTTGGTCCTAATCAAGGCCCTCACCTTGTCAATCAATCCGAAACAGACCCGAACCCACCCCCTCGCGGAAAAAACCCGTCCAAACCTGAAACACAAAATAACTAAACAAACAAGTAAACAACAACAACGGGGGGGGGGGAAAAAAAAAAAAAAAAAAAAAAGCCCCATCCCAGCCCCTTCCCTCCCGCTGAGATTTGCCCCCTGTACAGTCCCTCACACTGACGGTAAATAGATCCCTTGGCTACACGCGCGCGTACCCACACACACCTACACACACTCGTATGTAAATACACACGCACCGACATACAAAGACCAAAGAACATTACAAATATACACGGGAGGTGCTGCAGCGGCGCGGAGAGGCTGCGGGGCCACCCGAGGAGGCAGAGGCACATCGCTGCCACGAGCTCGCTCCGGCCTCAGCCCGGCCCCCCCGGCGCCTGCCCGCAGCCTTGCGCCGGGTTTGTGCTCGGGAGGCCGGGGGCGGCGGTGGGGGGAGCCCGGGTGAGTGCACGGGGGGGCTGGGGGTGCTGCCGGGCCCACGCGTGTGACGGCCGCATCACGAGCATCGCTCGGGTGTCGGCAGCGGCTCAGCCCGTCCCCCGCACCCGGAGCCCCCTGCTCTGGCTTCCGCGCGGATCCCGCCCTGTCCTTTTGCCCTGACACGGGTGAGGACCAACACGTGCCATGGGTGACGTGCCATGGGTGACGAGCGTGGAGAACATCCACCCTTCAGCACGTTCCGTGGCCTGGGGGGAGCCCCCGGGGGGGGAATGAGAGGACACCGGCCAGCTCTTGGGCTTTGTCTGCCGTGCCCTGGCTCGAGCAGGGAGGTAAAAGAGACGGTCGGTGGTTCACCACCTCAGGGCCCCATGAGCTGCTGAGCCGGCTTGGAGGTGAACTTGAGGCAATCAGAAAGCAAGGGAGGAGAAGGTATTCCTGCAGGCCACGGTGCAGGCAGCTCCTCCCCGTTCCGAGGTCTGCGCTTCCCGACCCTCACTCCCAGATGCCAACCTGAAAACTGAAGAAGGAACCGGGTCTCTTATCTATCTACTGTGTTCCGGGAGGCCAGAGCCAGCTGGGATGTGCGTGCACACCCCCCTCGGCTGTCGGCGGTACCTGCAGATGGAAGGACCTCATCCCAAGCTGTGGAAGGGACCCCCCTCTCCCTCCTAAAACACCCGTCCCCCTGCACCCTCCTCCCCAGGCTGAGCGCAGACCAGACCTGGCTGCTGCTCCCCGGGGAGCGAGCTCAGTCCTGGGAGCAGCCTACAGCCTCCAAAATCGCCTACAAGGCATCTGCTGGGGTGGGGGCGAAGGGGACAAAGACTTCAGAGAGGCAGGTGGTGATAGAGGGCAGAGGCAGGGGAGGGGAGATGGTGGCAGAGGGCGACGATCACGAACACAAGGCAGGACGGTGTTACAGGGGATGGGGAGAGGCCACGCCGTGGCAGAGCCGGGGCTGTGTCCGGAGGTGGGTGGGAAGGTCCGTGGATGCCCCAGCCCAGCCGTGTGGAGCACGTCGGTGGGCTGGTCCTGTCGGGTGGGACCACTGCCGGTGGTTCTGCCCCGTGCCCCTGCCTCCTTCCCTCTCCCTCCCTCACCCCGGGTCCTGTGGGCAGGAGCCACCGAGGCGATCACTGCCCCGGGCCTCCAGCGGAAGAAATTCCCTTCGTTGCCAAAAGATGCCAGGAGACAGTCCCTACCTGCCACCCGCTGCGATCTGCCTTCCCAGGGCCTGGCCTCAGCACACGTCCCCCTGCAGACCCCCGTCCTCCCACGCGAACCCGGGGGTCGCTCCCTCATTCACTACCACCTTGTCGAGCCGACGGAGCAGCCCCACCGCCGCGCACCCCGAAGCCACCCCCGGGGAACCACAGCTGCTGCCGGCCTGGCCCTGCCAGGGATGGTCTTCAACAGGGACCCACCGTCCCCCCGGGGAGCTGCCGCAAGCTGAATCGCTCAGGAGCACCGAGGCGTGCTGCTGCCTGGGACGCGCTTCAGATCGCCACCGTGACCTGATGCCTTGTCCCCTCTTACCCATCGCCCGTTTCACATCCATCCCTCCACGACCTACACAATCACCAGGAAGTTTCTCCCGGCTCCGAGGTGACCTCCACCCAGCCCAGAGGAGAGCGACGTTGACATCACTGCCCTGGGCATCACCAGCTTGTCCTGCATCTCTTCATTGCCTTTGGTTGCCGGGATGGTGACGCTCACCTCCAGGTTCACCTCGGTAGCCCCGC